CCCCAAAACCCCAAAACCCCAAAACCCCAAAACCCCAAAACCCCAGGGTACCAATGCAGTATTGAGAACTAAACCTATTAATTATTGATTATTCTCTCATGGCTTCAAAATCAATATCCTTGTTGAAGCTTTTCATCTCTGCTGCCTTTGGGATTGCCTTCTGAAGCACAGACTCTGGGATTCCAGCAAGGCTCGCTACTTGAATACCGAAACTATTGGAACAAGCTCCTGGAGTGAGCCGGTACAAGAAAGTGACGTTATTCGTCTCCTCATCAAACCTGTACCCCATATGGAAGTTCTCTAACCCGTCAATCTTCTTGAAGTTGCACAGCATATGATAATGTGTGGTGAACAGTCCGATGCACTAGATGGTACTAAATGAGAACTTACTTTTATTGACTTGACAAGGTAGTCCAGCACAGCCTTTGCCAGAGAGAACCCATCATAAGTGCTGGTGCCTCTGCCTAGCTCATCCATAATGATCAGTGAGCTTGAGGTGGCATAGTCAAGCACCTGCTTAGTTTCTTCTAGTTCTACAAAAAATACAGATTTGCCTTCCAAGATTCTATCTGATGCTCCAATCCTTGTGAAAATTCTGTCAACAGGTGTCAACACACATTTCTCTGCAGGCACATAGCAGCCTATCTGAGCCAAGATCACAGCAATGCAAGTTTGGCGAAGTAGAGTTGACTTTCCTCCCATGTTCGGACCAGTGATTAGCAATATGTATGGGTTGGACTCAGTTCCCGAGTCTTCGCAATCAAATCTCCTCCCTATTACTGTATCATTCGGAATGAAAGAGCCATTTGACACTCCAGTAGACTCGACACCTGGGTGTCTCATTTTCTTCAGCTCAAGATAGGAGTGATAGTTATTATCTTCGTTCCTGATGAACTCTGGCCTTGTTCATGCTCCGATGCTATTTCTACTAAAGAAGGCAAGCGAGCACAGTCAATCTAGCTCAGCAAGACAAGCAATGGCTCTTCCCCAAATATTACTCTTCGAGTGGAAATGACTGAATAGTGAACATATAAACGGAATGATGGCTGCCTTCAAGGCTTCTTCTGCTTCTTCTAGCTGCTCCACCCATTCTCTGATTTCTTTCGTATGGAACCTCTGGAAGCCTTTCCTCTGAGATGTGTACTCATAATCACTGGGCTTCTGTTTTCCTCTGACATAGCGTTCAGGGACTTCAAGCTCATACCTGAATTTGGCATGGGAGAAGTTTCTAAAATGATAATGTCAACTTACATGTTTGGATCTCCATTGAATCTGTCTCTCTCTTTGAGCAATACCTTGGAGAGTTCCTCTTTGATTTGTGAGACAACCTCGTTTGCCTCATCAAAGGTTTGATCTATGCCTTTCGAGGGTTCTGGAATTCTCTCAGGGCCAATCTTTTTCCAAGTAACCATGGATTCAAACTCTTCTAGCTCCTTCACGAGATTTGGGAAGAGCCCATTTGACTTATCTAGCTCTTCGAAGTCATCTTGGCTGTTTTCACCAAATCCTTCTTCTTCCTCGTTGATGGTGATTAGCTGCTTGAGTCTCTCTGACTTGAAACCATCTTTGCACTCGCTAATGGCTCGGATGTAATCAGGGATTTCCTTCATTTTTTGGAGAATATTATGGAACTCTCTGAGCTTCTTCAGAGAAATATCTTCGAAATAAATGGCCTTCTCGTTCCTGTTGATACTATATTGATACAGCCTAGACAGCTCCTTCTCTAGATCCTTCAGTTTGAGCAACTTGGTTCTTAGAGTTTCAAATTCGTGTCCATTCTCAATTAGATCTTCTACAGAATCTAGGCGGGAATTTATCATTTCAATGTTCTGGAGAGGAGAACTAATCCATTTCTTCAGTAACCGCTTTCCAAACGGAGTTCTAGAATCATCTATCATCCCAAAAAGAGAGCCTTCTTGCACCATTCCTCTTGCTGTCTTCACTTCCAGTATTTGTAAGTGCTCTAGAGCTTGAGAGTCAAGCACCATTCTCGACTGAATCGAGCGGTCTGGGTCGTATCTGTTGAAGTCAAATAGTTTATCTGCGAAAAGTCTCTCATTCATTGTATTCTCAAGATACGAAATGATCATTCCCATGCAAGTCACTGACAGATCATTTTTGTCTAAACTGTTGTTGAAATCATGGAGGATGGACTGCATCTGGTCCTTCCCATCTGACTTTGAAAGATAGTCTACACCCATATATGACTCTATCTTCGACATACTCTTGAAAGCATTTAAACATGACTTTGCTGGCAATCCTATCTTTATGGGAGGAACTGGAGAGTTCAGTAGGATTTTCAGTAGCTCATCCTTGGCCTGAGATTTATCATAGAGTATCTCTGCTGGCCTTAGCTCCATCGCAAGAGTTCTAAACTTTCCATACATATGGTTGTCTTCGAATTGCCCAATGAAGAACTTTAATGTTGTGATGTCAAAGAAAGCAACTCCTATGTTGTTCTCAAAATCTGAAGAGAATGCGAGAACCCACTTAGCCTCATAAGATACATCATTGACGTCATTGAAGGTTCCTTTGGTATAAACATTGCAAACTTCTCTGAGAACACATTGTCTTGACTTTGGAATGCCACTCATCCTGAGTCTCTTATCCATTTGTTTGGGAGTCTCAGTCTGCTCTACAACAGCAACCTTGAAGCCATTATTCACCAAGATTGGGACATACTTGTCAATGGCTTTTTCAGGGAACCCGACATGATACTTTTTAGCTCCTCCCATCCAGTTGAGGTTGAGGAGTCTGACTCCTATGATTGCATCTTCATAGAACATTTCGTAGAATTTACCAAGTTTGAACAATAAGACCTTGTCATAGTTCTTTGCTTTTGCTCCCCAATACTGCTTCATTGCTGGAGTGAGACCCTTCATAAAATCGAAGGGGATGAACAAGGTAGTATGGTCATACTCAGGGTCGTCTACTTTCCTCTTTCTCTCATCACGTTTATTTTCAGGCTTGAGAAAGTCAGGAAGGCCATCCAATACCTCCTGCTGGCTCATTGCCGCCATCTCATCTACCTTTTGTTTGCCTTGACCAGGAAGCCTGGGAGTTTGCGCCTGATGAGGAGTCTTTCTCTTGTTTTGTTGTACCGCAGTTTTACGTTTAGGAGGGTCCTTCTTCTTCACACTCCCAGTGAATCCAAACCCTTCGAGCCTGTTGAAGGTTGCCAGAGTTGCTTGTTTCTTTCTGGGAACCGCGGGAGTTTCAAAATCCTTGGCTTCTTCTCTCTTAGCTTGAGTGATACGATTTGTGTTGGGTTTCTGGGTTTCCTCTTGATCTAGCTCATCCACTAAGGCCTCTAGCTCACTCTGGTCAATATGGTCAGAGTCCAAGTCGCTGAGGATGGCCTCATCAACTTCAAAGGATTCGTCTGAATCAACTACTTTAGATTTGTTCCTCTTGGGAGCTGTTTTGGGTTCTATATAATGACTCAAATTCACTTCATAAATAGATTTTATCAGATTTGTGAAATAAAGACTCAGATTTGTTTTGCAAATAGAGCGAAGTCCTGCGGCAGATCATGCATATCTTTGCAAGTCGGATGCCTACCTTTGATACTGTTGGGGTGCTTAGTCGTCAAATTCCCGCACTTTTTAGAAGTGTCGCTTGCCATGTTGTTGATGTTCTCTTGTCCCTTCTTGGCAGTTTTGGCTTCGTGCCTCTAAGCATTTAGCAAGAAGACTTACGGCTGACTTTGGTTTGAAGTAGGATCCGAGGCCTACTTGTCTCTGCTTTCCTGACATATTTGTTAAAATATTATTATCTTCTTATAAACTATCCAATGCTTAATTGGTATCGCGGGGTTTTGGGGTTTTGGGGTTTTGGGGTTTTGGGGTTTTGGGG